AAGATTTAGAAAATGTTCCTCGTCTGAGGCGACTTCTGCTGTAACAATCAGATGGTTGAGTGACAATTTGATGTAAACAACATAAAAACATGGATCCATCCAGCTGCACGTCAACAAACTGGTTCCTGGAGCATGAAAACGAGCTCACTGAACTCAAATGACCTCCACTGTCACCAGATTTTAATCCAGTCTTTGGATGTGGTGAAACGAGAAGATTGACATCATCAATCTGCAGCAACTTTGTGATGTTATCACAGAAATATGGAACAAACTGCACACTAGAACAATATACTTAATAAAGTAGGTCTTCATACACTTTTAAGATCTGTATACCAGACTTTTGTAAAAAATACTTCAGATCAGTTGTTTTCTGTGCCAGGCTGCATCAGCTGATGCCCATCTCATGCAGAGCTTCCTGTTTAAGCTCCTTTAGCCTTGCATCCTTACGTCTTCATTAAAATTACATCTGCTGTCACTGACGTTCGCTCTTTTCCGTGCATGTGCAGTGAAGGGTGGTGAATCAATGTACTGTGGAAGGACATCTTTTGAATAAAATGATTCTGACTGAGCTTAAATTGTTAAAAAGTGACAAAAAAATCTTCATTGATGACTGGATTTACATCTATTACAGTGCTGCGCTGTGACGAATGATTGCATAATGTCTACACGTCTGTAGAGAGCAGCTGTACACAGAGGATCTAGGTGCCGGTGTTCACCATTCTTGAGTTTTAACCTTTAACCTTTTTTGCGTCTCTCTGGACCAAATTTCAGTAAAAATATTCTACCACAGGAAAGCACAGATTTAATGACCAGTATTAGAAAGAGACAATTTATTTCTGCTGACTTTAATCACTGTTGGCAGGAACTTTAAAGATGCCACGCTGCTTGAAACGCCTTCAGCAAACAAAAGCGGGATCTGAATTTAAAGCACCTGCATGTGAGAAAATAGATTCTTTCAGAGAAACGTTTCTGTCTGCAGCTCTGAACCTGAAATCCCCTCCCTCGCCCCTCCTCGTCTCACCGTCCCTTTATTTTGACAGCTACCTGCTTAGTGGCGTTGTGCGATAATTCCAACAAAAACAAGACCTCTTTTCTCGGCTCAACGTGCCAGCAGAGCTGTCATAAAGAGCACTCTAAACTAAATGCATGATCTGCTTCGATCCGTGCTGACTCACTGCACATCGCATCACGCCGTCAGCTACAAGGAGGTGCTGCAGCGGTTACAGAGACTTAATGCACATTTTATAAACAAACATCACAATATGCAAGACTGAAAGTCAGCAGAGGAGAGGACACATTAACAGGGTTAGAAAGAGAAGAAAAGTTCAGCCACCTTAAATTTATATTCAGCCTTCTGCCTACAACTGGATTTTTAAATATGAATGTGGAAAACACACATTACGTTTTCAATTCGAATATACGCCACCAGAAAATCCAGTTATTTCTTTTAATCTTTGATATATTTCAGCGTCTGTTGATCCCACATAGGAGTAAAAAACTAAAAAAAACTAAAGAGGATGTTTTAAATATAGCATACACTTTAATTAGCTTACA